GAGGCACTTGAAAAAGTGCAGGATCTCGGGCCGCCCCGGCTACAAAGGGGTTTTGAGGAGTGGAATGCCGAACAAGGGCTTCTGCTGTTCCGCGGGTGCGTGTACGTCCCAAAGAACGCGGAGCTCCGGCGGGATATAGTCAAAATCCACCACGACTCGCCGATCGCCGGTCATGGCGGCCGTGCCAAAACTCTGGAGCTCGTATCGCGGAATTACTGGTGGCCTGGGATGTCCAAGTTTGTCAATGAGTACGTAAGCACCTGCGACGTGTGCAACCGTACCAAGACATTCCCAGCCAAGCCCCAGGGTCCGCTGAAACCGAACGAGATCCCCGAGCGCCCGTGGCAGATCATCACGACCGATATGATCGTTGGCTTGCCGAAGTCTGATGGATTCGACTCGATCCTGGTTACCGCTGACCGCTTTACCAAGCAGGTCCACTTCTCGGCCTGTCATGAGACCCTGACGGCAGAAGGTGCGGCAGACCTGTACATCCGCGATGTGTTCAAGCATCATGGGGCCCCGGCCAAGGTTATATCAGACCGAGGTCCCCAATTCGCTTCGAAATATCTCCATGCGGTGTACAAGGGACTAGGGATCGAGCCGGCGCTGTCCACAGCGTTCCACCCTCAGACAGACGGCCAGACTGAGCGCTGGAATCAGGAGATCGAGCAATACCTGCGTGCTTTCACCAGCCACAGGCAGGATGATTGGGCGAAGCAGTTGCCGCTCGCGGAATTCGCACTGAACAACCGAGTTCACTCCGCAACCGGGCACTCCCCTTTCTTCCTGCATCAAGGGTACAATCCTGAGATCCAAGTACGGATCAATCCGATGTCTGCGATGCCTGCGGCCGCTGATCGGCTCAAGATCCTGAAGGAGATTCGCGACGATACGCGCTCTGCGCTCGAGCTGTCAGCCGAGCGCATGAAGGTGTACTACGACAAGCACGTGCAGGAGGCACCGGTCTTCGCGCCGGGGGACAAGGTCTGGCTTGACGCTCGGAACCTTAAGCTGAAACAGCCGAGCAAGAAGCTCAGTCCCAAGCGCCTTGGACCATATGCCGTGCGGCGAAAGCTCGGAGACTTGGATTATGAATTAGTCCTACCAAAGTCGGTGCCGGTGCACCCGGTATTCCATGTCTCCTTGCTTAGCAAGTACACGCATAGCGATATCCCGGGCCGGGAGCCGGAGGAGCCGCCTGCGATCGAGGTTGAGGGCGACGAGGAGTACGAGGTTGAGCGGATCAAGGATTCGAGAATCTTCAGGCGTCAGCTACAGTACCTCGTCAAGTGGAAGGGTTATGACGACTCGCATACGTCATGGGAACCGGCGCGCAACGTTGCCAATGCACCGGCCCTCATAGCCGACTTCCACCGGAAGAACCCGAACGCCCCTCGCCGCCTCAATGCCGCTGTCTTTGGTGGTCTCAACTTCCAGCCAATGCCTTCGCCGCTGACTGAAGCACGCTGCCGCTCCGGATGGGAGATGGGCAAGGGCGCCTCGCATGAGGTCATGCGCCGTTGAGGGGGGGGTAATGTCACGAGTTGGTACGGCGCCTAGCCGTTTTTTAATTTTTTCCTTTTCGCGGGCTCGAACCCGCGACCTCTGTACTACCTGCCTGATATGGACACGTCGTTATCTACTGTACGATTAGATTAGATAGGACGGCAGTGCACGGCACAGCTCGGGCTCCGCTGACGCAGCTGCTCTGACTCACCGGCCCCCGGGGCTGCGTCGGCATGCTGCGCACAGACCAGCTGCGCACGGACCAACGCGCACAGCCTGCCCTAAATCTTCCCATGTATATAAACCAGCCTCTGCTGCCCTAGGGACCTCAGTTTCGACCTCTTGTCCCTAGGTCAGTAAGCTCTCCTGTACTTACTTCTTTACTTACTAACTAATACATT